TAGAGTTAAAATTTCAAAAATTTTCCGGGGGAGGCCCCCCGGACCCCCCGCTGACCTGGGGGGTATTCCATACCCCCCAGACCCCCCGGTGGTGGGGGGCCAGGCCCCCCCCAGCAAAATGGCCTAGCTACGCCTATGCCTCTGACCTTAGAGCACTCACATAAAATTCTAAGTTTCTATCTAAATTTTTTGTAGTTCCTTTTAGCATAAATACGTCCATATGACCGACGGTGAAACTTCCGAACCACGTATCTCGTTTGCGCTGTTTAAAAATCTCCGATCCCATTTTTCTTTCCTTTCTGAAAGCGAATCAACATTATTTTTGTGAAATTTTCACAGACTTTTCTTCGCGCGGAGCAGAAAAATCGCAGAAATTTTAAAGTCTGAACGCTGAGTAGTTTTTCTTTTAAAAAATAAAGTATGACAGTAAGTCTGCAACGTCGCAAACCAAGATACGCGATTTGGGAGTTTTACAGTCGAATATTTGCGAGAATATATGAAAGAGTCACCAGTATATATTCACTCTAATCATCAGTCGGTAATTAAAGTTTGTCCTTAAGTCATAAAACTATTTGGTATGAGGAAGTCACGAATTTGTACCCTTCAACAGTTCCGGATCACCTAAATCGCGCCCCTCGAATGTTTTCTCTTGTTTCGATTTTTACGATGAATCTTAGACCAATCTAGGACCGTATGGGGGACTGTTGTCACAGGTTTAGCAATCCTGCGGACCCCAGCTGGTAGCCCCTGCCTCAAAGGGGGCAGTGGAGATGGTCACCGGCCTCTGGGCGTATGAACCACCTGCTAGAAGGGCAGACAGGGCTCTGAGCTGAAGTGAAAGCAACCTGTCTAGGAGAGGCAACTCCGAAATCAAACCCTGGTCCTCCAGGTTGGGGGTTGAGTCATCGGGCTAACTCCCCGGTACTTGTTAAAAGTTTTACTGTTAAGCGACCTAACAATACAAGCCTCGGTACCACTAGAACTAAACGGACACGTCGACAAAAATTGAGAAAACGGACAATGGTATTTGGGACGTGGAATGTCCAAGGCATTTCAAATAAGTTACCGGAAGTGATATCGGAGATTCAGAAACTTGGAGTGGATGTCGCTGTTCTTACTGAGACCAAGAAAAAAGGGCACGGGTCAGAGAATTACGGTGACTATGATCTATTCTACAGCGGCGTAGCCAAAGATCAGCGTGCTCAGCAAGGAGTAGCAATACTTTTGCGGAGAAGCCTACGTAAGTTCGTGGGCACTTGGGAGGCCGTCAACCAGCGCATTATCAAAATGAACCTTAACCTGTACGGACATAAGATCACGCTGCTCGGAGTATACGGTGTAAATGATGATGCCACTGTCGCATGTAAGGACCAATTCTTCGAAGATCTGAATGATGAAATACTGAACGTTGGTGCTGGCAGGGAAGCCATTCTTATGGGTGATTTGAACAGCAGAACGGGACGACGAGTAAACTGTAAAGTTGTTGGACCGTTTGGGGAGGATGCTGTTAATGATAACGGTGATCGGCTCATCTCAATTTGTTCTCAAACTGAGATGAAAATTTTGAATGGCTTTTTTCAACACAAAGACATCCATAAGTATACCTGGGTCCAGCCAACGCGAGGATTGAAATCCATCATCGATTATGTAATTGTAAAGCACACTACTAAGTTGAAATTGCAGCAAGTTAGAGTGTGCAGGGGACTCTCTTGCGGCAGTGATCATCATTTCCTCCGAGCAGATATAGCGTTTCCCGTTAAAGGGATTAAAGATAAAGAGCCAATGCCTGAGCAACAGCAGAGTCAGGGAACGCAAAATCATGAAGTATGGTATAACATCGAAAGTTTGGAGCACCCTAGTGTCAAGGCTCTGTATCGGAAACGCTTAGATGAGAAGCTGGGGGATGGACTCTCGGGTACCACGGAAGAGCAATATCAGTTCATCAAAGATTGTATCCACTCTGCAGCGAAAGAAGCCCTAGGTGTTCACAAAACCAGTAATAAATACCAGCATCCTTACTGGTGGGATGAAGAAATTGAAGACGAGATAAATCTTAAGAGGCAAAAACACCTTATATTTCTGTCGTCTAAAAAGACTGAAGATAAAGTTGCTTACAGGAAAGCTCAGTCTAAAGTTAGGAGCCTCATAACACGGAAGAAGAATGAAGCTTGGGAAAGCAACTGTTCTAGAATTAACACCTACCTAGGGGGGAGAAAAAGTGCTGAGAGCTGGAAGTTGATTAAAGGTTTACGTAGAGACATGAAGCGCGACATCGTTTCTCCGATATCACTTAAAAAACTGGAGGATCCTTTTAAAGATCTTTTGACGGAAAGGCGCCCAGAGTTTCGAGACAACAGCACGGACAACGGAAGAATGAACAACTTGGAGATCCACACTTGTGACATAATTAAAGCGGTTAAAGAGCTAATTAATGACAAAGCACCGGGTCCTGGTGGGATTCCTGTCGAGTTGGTCAAGTACGGGACTGCCAAGCTCTTTGAGTGCCTCAGAAAACTGATGCAACAATGCATCAGGGGTGACGAGGTACCAAGGGAGTGGAAGGAGTCTTGGATCAAGGCCATCTACAAAAAGAAGGGAAGGAAGGACGACTGTAACAACTACCGGGGGCTCTCAGTGACCGGGACAATAAGCAAAGTGTACGGGAAGATACTGAAAGCGAAGATCGAGGACGAATGGCAGGACCACGAAGCAGAGGAGCAGGCTGGTTTTAGAGCTGGCAGGTCTACGATAGATCACCTCTTTGTTATTGTCCAGGTCATTGAGAAGAAAATGGCCGTAGCTCAGGAACTGCATTTAATTTTTGTGGATCTCCAGAAGGCGTATGACAGCGTGCCGTTGGTGAAACTTTGGGAGGCCTTGGAAAAATCGAATTTTAACGGGGGGTTGATTGACGCTGTTAAGCGATTTTATAAAGGGAGTTTTACCAAAGTTAAGTGCCATGGGGGGTTGTCAGCGGGATTTTATGTGACTAAGGGTTTAAAACAGGGATGTTGTTTGTCGCCAACATTATTTAAAATTTATCTCGAGTGCGTGCTAAAAGAATGGAAAAAGAAATGCTCCGGTATGGGTGTCCCCTTGGGTGATCTCGAAACTCTGTTTACTCTGTGCTTTGCTGATGACCAGGTGGTGGTTGCTCAAGATCAAGATGACGCGGAATACATGATGCGCAAGCTAGTAGAAGAGTATCGGAAGTGGGGTCTGGAAGTCAGCATATCCAAATCTGAGAAGATGACTTTTGGCGGTGATCAGCAAAGCATTGAGTTGGAGGATGGGCAGCAGATCAAAGGCTGCGAGCACTTTAAGTACTTGGGAGTGCGGTTGACCCAGGATGGAAGGACGGATCAAGCTATCAGGGAAAGGAACACCTTAGCAAGGAAGGCTATAGCGATGTTAAATGGAATCCTCTGGGATCAGCGGATTTCCAAAGATAACAAGAGGAGGATATACAACGCTGTAGTCAAAAGTATATTAACATACGGATGTGAAGTTTGGCAGCTGAAGAAACGGACACAGGATATGCTAAGAGCAACGGAGATGGATTTCTGGAGAAGGTCAGCAGGAATTTCTAGGAGAGATCGGGTCCGTAATGATAGAGTGCGTCAGATAATGGAAGTCGAAAATGACATCGTGTTCGACGTCATGACCAAGCAACTTGTTTGGTATGGTCATGTCAATAGGATGACGGAAGAGAGGCTGCCAAAAAAGATGCTTGATTGGGTTCCTCCTGGGAGGAGACGTAGGGGACGCCCAGTGAGAGGTTGGCGACAGGGGGTGTTAAATGAGATAAGAGATTGTCAACTCCCTGGTGACCTGTGGGAAGACCGAGCTTTGTGGCGATTAGGCGTCGCACAGCGCCAAAGAGCGCTATAAAAGCGACTCATTCATTCATTCATCTTAGACCAATAGCGCATTGTCAATTAAATTAGCTTGATGCACTGAAAATTACCTGCATTCTAAAGCGATAATAGTCTTTTTCCTTCAGATTTAAAGACGCCATTGTAGCATTTGGGGAGGAATAAATTCATCACAAAAAAGTCTTCCTTCGACAGCAAAACTACGAAAAATGCATGTCGGTTTGCGGCATTGCAGCTTTCCCGACCCATTTCAATTTTTCGACCCTGCCCAAGTAGCAGTGATTGTGATAAGTTGCAATTTGATCGGAGAATGTGTCGTGATTTTATCGACGTCGATTTATTGCGATACTCTTGGATAAAAATTGCGATTAATTGCGATTTCATCGCATAAATTTGCTGTAAAATCGCGATTTTTATCGACGGCGATTCATCACAATATTATCAAACAAAAAATTGGATTGCATTTTGCAAAAAGGAACCAAGAGCATTGCAATGTTGCTAAGATTGTGCAACTTCTTTTGTCCTGGAAGAAAAATCTGATCATCTATAAACAGTTTCTATTTTACACCCTAAAAACTGCAAATTGAAGAAAAAAATCACTATTAAATTTCATATTTTTGCATAGGTAATTTTAGTATTTTTATTGCGAAGGATGAATTTGCACTAGACTTAGCAACATTGCAATGCTCTTGGTTCCCTTTAGCAAAATGCAGTCCAATTGTGATAAATTGGGATACAATTTCAATTTTATAGATCCTAGCGATTTTATCGCCAAAAAATCGCAACTTAATTTCTAAATATCGCGATTTTTCCGTTGAAAAATGCTGTGTGGGTATTGGCACCGGGAAACAAGGAGATTTTTTCACAACTTTTCTTTTGACACATTTTCAATGCCACCGCGGTTTCGATACATTTCAGAGACAGTTAAGTTACAAATCGATGGTATTACTGCAAAAACGCGTGTCTCATCTGAGGTATTTCAAAATCTCTGTCCCCAATTTATTTCTTCGAGTCCAGGCTATCTTCCGGCTGTCTCGATTGAAGGTGGGAAGATTAAAAAATGCTCCAAAATAAATGAATTAGGAATCATTTTTAATACAATTTTATCTGTTTCTGTTCTTTTAGAATGTTGCTGCCGGGAGAGAGGATGGGTTGGACCCTGACTGACTTATCTCTGGTCCTGCTCGTAGCAGTCATTCTCATTATCGCCGAGTACAAATCCTGGTCAAGCCATTGGTCTTTTATCAACATTTACCGGATATTAGGTAAGTTTCAAGCTCCGTTCACATCATGAACGTGCCGCACAGTAGATCGAGTCAATTAGAGAGGTCGGACAAGAAGTGTTTTACCAAAACTGAAAATTTTGATGCTTATTTCGTCACATTTTAAATTTTAAAGGGTGCCCCTGAAAGAAACTTTCACGAGAAAACCGATGAAACCACTTTTAAAACCTCAAATTTTTGTATAAACGGATCTATAAGCGTTTAGAGTTTCTAAATTTTGTCCGACCTCTCCCATCGACTTGATCCACTGTGCGCCGCACTGAACGAGGCTCAAGGGAAATGAGTCGAGATGTCAAGAGACTGTATTGCCGTGCTAAGGAAAAACGCCGTATGAACAGTCGAGAGTTGCCAAATTTCCTTCAATGTATAGTTTATTTGGAGAATAATGACAATTTTCTCTTGAAATGGTCGAACAATTTAGACCTGATTGCGAAGAAACTCTCTGATAAATGGGAGGACAAAATGAGGGGCTTGGAGGACAAGACCCTGGTAAAAATTGGCAGTAGAATCTGTGTTCCAAAATACCATAGACCTACGGCCGGCTGTAAGATTTACAATAGCTTCTATAGCCGGCTACACAATTTCTTATAGCCTTTTATAGCCGATGGCGATTAAGCAACTCACAGCCAGGCGATAATGTGTATGCTAAACGTCACTAATTACGGATGCTAAGACTTAGTGAGTTTTTGGACCACTGCTCTCTTTTTGGGCCGTAGTATCTTGATTTATTTTGCGAGGAAAGCTCCGTACTTTTGATGGATGCATGCCATTCCTAATATATTAGAGCGCCTTCAGTTTCGTATGATACTGTGCAATACCTCTGGTGTGAAATAGTTGCTTCAAGCGCCGTGGCACGCTGCGGTGTGGCAGGCGGGCAGTCAGCGCGAAACGCGCATTGGCGCCTACAAACCTAACAGGGATACTTCACGCGTTGCGCAATGCGTGAAGTATCCCTGTTAGGTTTGTAGGCGCCAGTGCGTCGCCGCTCCGTTTTGTGTTAGGCTCTAGGTAATATTTAATCTGGCGGAGTCAGCGTTAGTCAACTCATGATTTTTAAATGTTTGCACATCCTGTATGGATTATTCTCGTTTTAATTGATGAAAAAAATATGTATTAAAGGAAAATATAACGTGTGTTTTGTAAATATTAAGGTGGTTCCGTATCAAACTCAATGATTTCCAAAGCACACGAATTTCTACACAATTTCTTATAGCCTTTTATAATCGATGGCGAAAAAGCAACAGCCAGGCGATAAAGCGTGAAGCCCGGCGATAGGAACTATAGCCCGGCTCCATAATTTTTTATCGCTTCGTATAGCCCGGCCGTATGATTTTCTCCGCATTCTACAGCCAGCTATATGCTTTTCTGCAGCCCATAAGAATTCCCATGGTATCTTGAAACGCAGCTCTTATCGCCAATTTTTACCACGGGACGTATGCGTGCAGTTTTTGAAAAAAAAAAAAATTGAGATATAATTGATTTTAAGTAAAAATTTTCCTAATGCATATATGTGAAGAATTCGCTTCCAAATTCCAATTTTAAAGCATCATAAAGTCAGTTTAAACTTTCTTTCCACCATGAGGATCCATACAATTTCGAAACTTCAGATATTATTTTTCGAATTATGAAAAACCGCACTTGTCTTCGAAGCCCCTCAAATATCCAAGGATCCCTCTGAAAATTTGTATTAAAACAGAAACATTTGTATTAAAACAGGGAATTTGTCAACGTCCGAAGGCTCATGCTGCGTATTCCTTAGCTCGCGGCAGCACAGTTCCATAGATAGTGCGTGAATTGAGCCGCGCGGTAGATTTACGCGATTGCGTGCGAGGCGTTAAAATCTGCTCGTTGTCGCAGACGCTGATGACATGATTTAGGGATCCTAGGGATTTTTTTTACAGATAATCCTCTTAATCGTAGTTGTAAGCAGGACCAGCCTCCTAATCTTGAATGCTCGCATGCGGATAGAGAAATTCCCAAGTAGCGCAGTATACGGTAAATTGAAATTACATGGTGAAATTTTTGCAGTTGCATCGGATATTGGGTCAAAGAGTGTTGCGTATGTTGCCTATCCACTAATTGAAGGGGCTTCTACATTCATTTACACGTCGCATCGCTTCTTTTTTGCACTTACTGCTGTCCTCGCTATCAGGGCAGATTAACTTTGACAATCAACGAAGATTATTATTTTGCTTGCACTAGTGAAATACAACCTGAAATAGAAAACCTCTCGCCTCTGCAAGTACCACAGTGAGGAAAGTTTTGTATAGTTTCCCTTGAAATTTCCAGATATTTTAGATTAAATCGCGTACAAAATTGCCTAAAATTTTTGAAACAGAATATTGACAATTTTCCCGGTAAATTTCACTCTTCTTGAAGGAAAGCTGGCGACATCTGGAGGCTCATGCGGCGTTTTTCCTTAGCACGGCACCATAGTAACTCCATCCCACATTCCTACTCTCACAATACTTTATCGGAAAATGAATGTCGATCATCCTTCTAAAAGCGCTTGTGAGAAATTATTGCGCACGTAATTTTTGTTTCCGAATATTGTTTGTCCCTTGAATGCGACCCCTTCCAAGCGAACCCTCAAGTGTAATCATATCACGGTGCACAGTGGATTGAGTCAATCAAAGAAGTCTGGCATGAAATTTTTGACTAAAACTGCAAATTTTGATGTTTATTTCGTCACTTTTCAAGTTTTAAGGGATGTTTCTGGGAGAAAATTTTACGAGAAAACCAATGGAACCAATTTTGGAACCCTAAAGTGTGTATGGACGTAGTTATAAGCGTTTAAAATTTCCTAATTTCGTCTGATCTCTCCTATTGACTCGAGCCGCTGTGCGGTAGGTGAAATTTTTCTATCAGTCTCAACGAATCTCCACACCGGGTAGTGATTTGTTCCTGCGCGAGCAGTGGGATACTTGAATGAGTGACTGTTATCGTGAACTCGGTGACACTTGCTTTTAAAATTATTGTTTCATAAAAGTGGAATTATTCTGCATTCGACGTGTGTTTGAAGTCTACATGCCCCCCCATTGAGCCGTGCTCGCACTTCACCAATACGTTTTGTTAAAACTCGTGAGGTACTTTTACTGAAATTTGGCAACACCGGATTTCCTCCATTTAAACTTATGTCAAATTATCGATTCTTGACGGAGTACAGATTCTTGCCCCTTCAAGAATCGATACATTTCCACAGGTTTAAATGGGGGAAAAAACAATGTTGCCGACTTGCTGGATTCGCGAATGACTACTTGTGAATCCGTGCGTTTCAATTTGTGGAAATCTTTGGTGACATAATTGTAGACATACTATGACATCTTTTTGATCCATCAAAATAAAGCATCGACCACCGGTAGCAACGAATGTTGGAATAACGTTTGAAAAAACTCGTCATTTTTAAAAAGACAACTCATCAAAAACGATTAAAAATGTTTGTTTCAGAAGCCTCTTTTCGACATTTTATAAGTAAAATTTAAGTAAGAACGCGTGTTTAAAAACCTCAAAATATGAACTGTGCATAGATTGGTAGGAGAAACGGGGAAAACAGGAAAACGTTTGAAAAAAGTGTCAAAAATTCTTAGACAAATATTTATTTTTTGCTGTGACTTTTTAAGTAAATTTCACGAAGAGTTAATTTTACTGAAATTGAAAAAATAATCACAGGGCGTTTCTTAAAACAAAAATTCTAACCGTTCTCTTAAAGTTTTTTTTTAAAAATATCTTTGAAGGTTATTGCTACAAGCCGATGCGAATAAACCGGGAATCATTGCGCTTGGAGTCGCTAAAAATCCGCACGGTTGATTTCACGCACGGTCAACTTCGCGCCACTCGCCGTCTGTGGAGCCGTAGCTTGAAACGGTGGCGATTACACTTCTCGTTTTTTTCTCTTTTTTTTCTAATCGTTATTTTTTTAGGCTGTATCGAAAGGCAATCGGCGTGTGGCAAAGCGCACGGTGGGTCAAACGGGTTCGCTTGAAGAAATAGAAAAAAGAATGAACGAATTTTATTTCTTACGCGAGCGAATTTGAAAGTCGCGCTGAAAAAAAATGGCTGGAAACCTGGTGGGGATCATTAACAAATACGTAAGGCTGGATTTTAGAAATTTTGAATTTGAATCAAAGCTCGTTTCATCAATGAAGCATCGTTTAAAACCCGAACACTTTCCTCGTATACTGCCGTGCTAAGGAAGAACGGCGTATGAACATTTCAGAGTTGCAAAATTTCCTCCGATAAAATGTTTATTTTTGAGGAAAGTCATGAATATTTTTCCTTTAAATTTTCAGAATCTTCAGGTGAAATTGCGAACAAATTTACCTGAAAATTGGGAGAAAAATTTGCATAAGTTTACTATAGGAAATTCGCGTCTTATGAAAGGAAATTTGGTAACGCCTGAAGCTTTATACGGCGTTTTTCCTTAACACGACAGTATACTGCAATTTTACCGGAACGTTACTAAAAACTAGTTTTGACGCAGTAGTGTGGCGTGAATTGCGATGCATCGATTGTTATGCCATTTAAAACTATGGTAAAGAATCGATTATTAAGGTGTTCGCTGCGAACACTCTGTCTATCGATCTTTTCCATAGGTTTAAATGGCAGATAAATCGATATATCGCAAAGCACGCCACGCCATTGTTTTGAAGGTAAGTTGGAAATGAAGTATGGGAATAGAGAGCTTACCCGTCTACGATTGGTATATGAAGATTTGTGTTCCTTTTAAGATTCAGTTTGTATGACGATAATATGCCCCAATTAAAATTGGATCACTTAGGGGCTGAAAGAGCCCCCACGTCCCATAGCTTTAACCGGTGAAATTCCGGTAGAAATGAAGTTTTTAGGTTTTAACTAATGCCTCGTTTCCGAAACTAGTTTCGACTGAAAAACCCGATGGAACTAACATTTCCGATTTTTCACTGATGACCTGTCGTCAACACTAGTTTTAAATGAAATTGTCCGTAAAACCCCAGAATGACAAGCTTCAGGATTCTACTTACAGACCTGTTTTAAACTAGTATTTTTCATGGTTTTTTTGTACGATCTTTTTACATTTCTGATATTTCTCACCCAAGCACCGATTTCTTTCTTTTCATTTAACTCGTAGGTAAAGGAACAAAAGTTCTGAAGGAACCGAAAACTATAAAGGATGTTCCAGGACCCATCGCCCTCCCAGTTTTCGGCACTCGATGGTTGTACTCCGTGGGAGGATATAAAATGAACAAAATTCACGAGCTGTATGCAGGTGAGGTTGGTGAGGTGTCTGAATATCCCATTCAGTAGTTACTATCATTAAAGCCTAATTGACCATTAGACAAGGTACGAATTTAAGCAATCTGATACATGTTTCTTAACCAGAATTTCACGTAGAACACGATTCGCGCAACGAAAATTACTGAAACCAGCTCCTGATGAAGATATTAACCTTTTTATTTCACATTGGTCACGTGGATTTTGAACTGCCCGCTCACAAGAAACTCAAAGCTCTACGTGAGTCAAATCGCGCACCACAACAGTTTCAGCTAGCCTCTCAATCGATCACTGTTCATAACCCACCATGTGTTGTTCAAATTATAAGCAATTTGCTTTAGCTGAGCCCAAGCGTCAAAATTGAGGTTGCCAGATTTTTATATCGCAAAGACTGTCATGATAATGTTCAGCGCGCGATGTGAATCACGTAGATCATCGAGTTTTAATGAGCGGGTGGTTTGAATTCACGCATCAGGAATCATTTAATATCATTGTAAGGAGTTGATTTCGGTAATTTTCGTTGTGCGCATCGTGTTTTACGTGAAATTTTGGTTAAAAAATATGTATCAGAATGCTTGAATTCGTACCTTGTCTAGTGGTCCATTGTAGAATAATTCATAGTGCAATGCTTCCAAAATTATCCACTCATATTTGGACGTACTGATTCCAAACGGAACCAGAGACAGGTGGGAAAGAGACGGAGTGCTTGGGCCGTGAGAATAAATGGGAATTATAAAGCGCCAGTGACGTCAGCGGCGACGACTTCGAGCTTGACGACGGTCCCCTTTAACTCATGAGCCCTGTCCACAACGCTTTTGTTATATGCCCACGGCTCATGAGTTAGCATACAGTTGGCGCTTGGTTCTGTTCGATGTAATGTAAAATCCCGCTTTTCCATTTTCCCGAATGGAATCACGCCTACTATTGCATTGTTTCAAATCCAGCTTTCTATTGAGCACACCCCACCTTTCCCACTCGTCTATAATTCCGTTTAGCATAAATACGTCCTTTTGAGACTTTCGAGGTATTGTGTGAAATCAATCAATCATATTTTAAATTCTCGACCACGCACTGCGTTAATGGACTGCATGCTATTCCGCAAGGTTCACCGTTAGTATTTAACGGGATGGCGAGATGGATCCGTCACTCACAGTGTTGAGCCAGTTTGCCAGTTCGGACTCCCTGAGAGCGTGTGCGGAGGCACCGTAGGAACCGCTCATTCATTATTACATATCGCTGAAAGTTGGATTGAAAAAAGGGGGAAAAACGTTTGTACCAATAAAAGCAACTTTCATTCTTCAACTTTGAGCAGAAGAATTCCGGTTGTTTCAGATGAAAAATCCAGTTATTTTACAAGGAACTAGGGGGCTATGCCCTCTGGCCGCTACGCGGCCCAACCCCCAGAGGGCGCTTCGCGCTCATAGGCCCGCTTTAAAAAAAGAACGACCAAAAAATGAAAAGATTTTCATACTCGACTCTCATTTGTCCGATCTCCCTCTGGCCGGGAGCGATTGAACCAATAAGAATCGAATAAAAAAATCGGCATTTATTTCAAACTTCCCGCAAAGACTGAAACGAAACGGAACAAAGCGTTCCATCGCTGTTGGATAGTCTGTGCTAAAGGAGCATACCTTCTATTCACCTACCTTACCCTACTAACAGACCAAGATTCTGCATTTCCCGCTTATTTTAATTTTCCGCTAAATTTGAAATTCCCGCCATTTTTCATTGGTTGGAATTTCAAATTTTGCCCCCCTTTCTAAGCTTTTTGGTCTTCTCCAATATAAAAAAATCCTGGGTCCTATTTTCAAATTCTGATTAGAGCGGGATCATCTAGGGCCTATCGCCTATCGATTACCTCAAAAATCATGGAACGCTCAAACGAAATAAATTTACATTGTTTAAATGGGAAAATTCGCAACTTTACCATGTAATATAAAAAAACCTGGGTCATATTTTGAAAATTTGAAGAGAACGGGCTCATCTAGAGACACTTGCCCGTCGATATGCGCAAAAATCATGAAAATCGGCCAGGCAGAACGCTGGAACTTAGCGTTACCAGTTATGCAAAATCAGGAGGCCTTGGAGCTTATAGTATAGATAGATGAAAGGTCCAGTTTTTTTAGACAAAAATGGATTCCTGACAGATATCTCAGATTTTTTGTGGAAAAATCTCTACAGCTTACGTCGAAGACTCGAAGTGCTTGAAGTTTTTGATTTGGATATCTTCGGTAATGTCAATTTTTTTTAAAAATTAACCAACTGTTTTTCTCAAAATTTTCCCTAAAAAGTGTTTTTTTATTCAGAATATATTTCATCAATATCCTCGATAAGGTCGAGGATAATCGCTTAGATTTTGAAGATCCTTGCGATTTTACCGCCAATAAAATCGCACTATATAGCGAGTTTTCCGTGGAGAAATGCTACTTGGTCAAGCCCTACTAACTCAACCTTTTTCCCCCAGACCTTTTCAGAAAATACGGGGAGACCGTCCGAGAGGAGGCGTTGTGGAACTTCCCAGTGATCAACATCAGGAACCGCGATGACATCGAAAGAGTGCTGAAACAGTCGAGCAAGTTCCCCATCCGCCCGCCGAACGAAGTGACTTCCTACTACCGTAGAACTAGGCCCGATAAATATACAAACCTAGGACTAGTCAACGAGTGAGTAATCATTTTGTCACTTTAAATGAAACGATGCGATGGGCCAATGGACGAGCTTTAAATTGATGCATTTCATGACACGTTTCCTCTTCAAACTCACGCGTCGTGAGGGACGCACTCGACGAAATCTTCCGCACGTCGATCCCTTTTCTCATATTTGCGCAGTGGCATCTTCTGACTGAAACTTTCCAGGAGGCAGAATGGACAATTTGTACAAAATAATAGAATCAGGACGTGCGAAAACCGCTAATGTCCATTTTTCCAGTCTTCAGTTTTTTTTGAGTTGATAATACTTTTTGGCGTTGGATGTGTCGCAGGAAATTAGCAATCGCCGGCAATTTGCAAGCGGTTCACACGTTGTTTCAATAAATCGCAATGATGCGCATCGGCATAATGCAATTTTTGAGGGTTATGGTCTTCAAAAGTATGAGCTCTGCTTGAAGCCTCTTCATTTTTTGTGATACTGAACGTTTTGTCACGATGTTAGTTTAGTTGCCTGTCCGATCTCAATCCAACTAATGTCACAGAGTTCACTACACGCTCTTCTAAGTGCGCATATTCCTGCCATGTTTTTCAGGATGTAAAAGTGTCTCTTCACATTACAGGCAACATAATCAGCACTCTAATCTCGTTCTTTTATTTTTGAATTTTATGATTTCCTATATTTATCCACCACCAGCTTGTAAATTGCCGGCGATTGCGAATTGCTTGCGACAGATGCAAACACGTAAGTGGCTTCAATACTCATCTTCGGTTTACCTCAATCCCAGAAGAGTCCTCTCATGAATTTTATGGTTGCATCAACTCTTTAAAAGTATTATCAATTAAAAAAAACTGAAGACTGGAAAAATGGACATTAGCGGTTCTCGCACGTCCCGATTCAGTTGTATTCCTTCATCCGAGTGTGCTCAATGAGCTGAGTTCGCAGTTTTTTTCATAATTCTTTTTTAAAATGAGAAATTGGAAAAAAATAGATTTAAGAGTGAGAAAATGTGCCGCCTTGTGACTAGACGTCACATGGCGGCATTTTTCCATTTGAGGGGCTTGGAGGACAAGCGCAAAAGTGCAGTTAAAAAAAAAAAAAACTGAGATGTAAATGATTTCAAGTAAAACTAGACTTGACCTCCGTGATACAAAATTGGAGAAAGACATGGAAATCTACCGAGTGGCAAGTGGATCAAAGAAAGCGCAGCAACTACCCGTTAAACGCGTTCGATCGGCAGGTCGGCGTTAAACGCATGTTAGCGCCTACAAGGCAGCATGAATACTTCTCGCATTGCATCTAATGGACCACTAGACAAGGTACAAATTTAAGCAATCTGATACATGATTCTTAACCAGAATTTTACGTAAAACACGATTTTCACAACGAATATTACTAAATCCAACTCTTAACAAAGATAATAACATTTTTATCACACATTGGTTACAAGGAATTTGAACTGCCCGCTCACAAGAAACTCAAATCTCTGCGTAAGTCAAATCGCACATAACAACGGTTTCAGCAAGCTTCTCAATCGAGCAATGTTCATTCCCCACCATGTGTCGTTCAAACTATCAGCAATTTGGTACAGCTGAGCCAAAGCGTCAAGATCGAGGTTGCTAGATTTTTATATCGCAGAGACTGTCATGATAACGTTTAGCGCGCGATGTGAATCACGTAGAGCATTGGGTTTTCGTGAGCGGATGGTTTGAATTCATGCATTCAGAATCATTAAATATCTTCGTAAGGTATTGATTTCGGTAATTTTCGTTGTGCGCATCGTGTTTTACGTGAAAATTTGGTTAAGAAACATTAATCAAAATGCTGAAATTCGTACCTTGTCTAGTTGTCTATTGCGTCTAACGCAGAGCAGTTGGTCAGGTGGTATTTTGCGCATATTAGCGCCTACAAGACGGAGAAAATACCTCAAGCATTATGCGCACAACGCATTGCGCTCTTCTATCGTTGTAATTTCTCAGTGGTGGATCTACCTGCGGTGGACACAATATCCAACCAATGTACAACGCGAGCCTACAATCCTTAAAGGATTGGGTAGATTTTCCTACCTTTTGTTAACTTCCCCATACTTAAATATCCCTCATTGCACCTCATCTACTGAGACGAATCAAACATCAACAGAGAATTATGCAAAACGGCCAAAAAGTGATTCAGCGAGGATTGTACGAAACTTTGTGGGATGATTGTATAGGTCCTTTTGGGCATAAATTTAGCTGCATTTAGGCGAAAACCGCAGGGAATCGACGTTGCCATTTTTTAAAGTCATAACATTCAAATATACATAACTATCGCAAAAAAACAGTTACAGAGCTCGTATTTATACCAAAAAACGCAAAAAATTACGATCCATCAACCTTTGCAAAAGAAATTGTAATTTGAGCCCATTGTTGACACGTTTGGGTCATTTGTTATTTTCATAATTATTAAAAATCACGTTACCACCTAAAATTGTGTTTGCAGTTGGTAAGGATTGAATAAAACCTGTCGGCATCATTGTTCGTTAGATTTCAAATCCATTGATATGTTATAATTTTCTGAGAGGCCTAGAAAGTACGAGTTACAGCGATTTAAAAATTTGGTGACAAGTCCGCCACCCGATTTTGACGCTCGTTCATGTACGTTCCGCGGCTCCGTGTTGAAGCAAAACGCCTAAACCAAACAAAATTCGAAAAGTCAGTTCATGTTTTGCGCTTTTTTGAAACTTTGACATGATTTTTAGGAACTCACGTCATCTTTCTAAGAAAAAAATAAAAAATAGTCAGTTAGTTAATTAACTAAAACTAAAATTAGTCCAGAACCGACTTTAGTACTAAAATCTAATCTTTCTAAAAAGAGTTAGTTAGTTACTTAGTTAAGTATTTAAAATTAAAATTAGTCCTGAACCGACTTTGAAAATTGTATCCTAAAATCTAATCTTGTGACAGAAAATACACAGATTTAGGTTCTTAATTTAATGGAAGCAAAAAAAAGGTAAGTTCTTCTGTCAGTCTTCCAATATACGTATAGATGGAATTCTCTTGTACAAATACTTCCAACTAACGGAGAAGGTGTATGAAGGCCCTGAAAATGTCGTTTTCGCATACAATTTTTGCGTTGGTTTATGCTTCCCTAGTATTCATACAGAAAACACTGCCGTATCAGCGCGCGGTTGAAATTAGACTTGTTGAGGGGGAATAAGCAGGTAGTTTCATAACTTCGGTGTCAAGCACACGTGTCATCGATCATTTTAAGAGTTGTTTTTGTATATTTGAGACCGTCTACGGGAAAATGACTTACTTCCTCATGGGGCTAGTTATAATGATCCATCGATGGCCACCTAGAGGCAAGCAATTGGAACTGTGAATAGATGTGTGCTAGAACAACTCGCTCTGAATTGCAAACTTCGAACTCATAACTTCGATTTGTTATTGATTTTTATTCTCTTTATTAAATTTTTTCTCGTTTATTTCAGCATTTTTGCAAAGAAACGCATCTACATAATGAAATAAAAATATCTTTCCTCTAAGTTTCGCAGCATTTAGTTTATAAAGCATTTATTAAACATTTATTTAGAAAATCTTATAATTTTTCTCGTCTTCAAACAACTGTACGGCATTTAGAGTTGTCCCTAAGACGATTTCAATTGCATCTTACATTGGTGAAGACAAGGATAGACTGTCCTTATGTACATCATAATTCTACTCATTTAAAAAAAAGAAAAGGAACAGGAGGCCTTCAGCCTGCAAGCAAGGTCCCCGCAGAAAAAGAAAAAAAACAGTCACTTAATGTGTCATTTATAGCAGCCGCAGCCATACTCGTGATCAATGGATGTGCTGTGCATGTTGCAGTCAAGAATAATGGAAGGCGCCAAGGCGTTCTCATATGCGCTGTAGGCTTCTTCAGCGACATGAGTAAGTTATTAATCTTTTTCAGTGGGCACAGATTTGACGTTACTTCAATTTGACAGGGGTACTTACTCCTAGAAAACGTAAGATAATAAAACCTGCGTCTCTGACCTGACATTTCGTAGCTCCTCTGTCGTAAGGGCGTATCTCTATTTCCGCGCATGAGCCCCGGAGAGCACGGATTTATATCAGTGGTGTGACGAGCTTGCGATATATCGATTTGTCTGCAATTTAAACCTATGGTAAAGGATCGATAAACAGGGTGTTCGCAACGAACACCTTAATAATCGATTCTTTGCCGTAGCTTCAAATGGGGAAATATCGATAATCGATCATTCACGCCTCGCCACTGAATGTGGAACATGGCTCACGTGGAAATTGAGATACGCCTTTGCGTCGAAGGTGCGAAGATTTGTGGGCATTTTCCCCTACCTCCTCCGAGCATCTTGATAATATTATACTTCGCTATGAATTTTTTCGCCTATATGGTATCTTTCCCCGCGGAGATCACACATTATTTTTTAAAGCTGATTATGTTTTGCAGGCAAGGTCAAACGTGGCATGACCTGCGGACGAAACTGACTCCGGCTTTAACTAGCTCGAAGACTATGACACAGTTCTTACCTGAGCTGAACCAAGTTGCCGATGACTTCAATACCCTTATCACCAACTCCCGCGACGAAAACGGTGTCGTCCACAACTTCGAGGAGTATGCTAATCGTATGGGCCTTGAGAGTAAGTTCGCCCTGTGCTCGCCTAAGGTCTGATCTATCACCACTTATGACATTTTGACGTATTTATGCTAAAAGGAACTGGGAACTGTGTAGGCACAAATGAATGCAATCAAAAGGAACTAAGGTTGCACACGTGGAATGACTGCAGTGAAATTTTTCATGAACTTTAAGAAACGGTGAAATATATGAAACATACTTTCAAAGGCTGGAAATCGATTGCCGAAGTACAAGAATGCGGTTTTCTAATACGGTGCTTCAAAATTTATGTTACGATTTTATTTTTTCGAAGAAAAACAAGTTAACTTCATAATTTGAAAATACAGACTATTCTGTCAACAGAGAAAAAACTTGGAAATTTTAAAAAAATTTCGTTGACTAGTTTCCCTGGTAAAAATTGGCGATAGGAGCTGCGTTTCAAAATACCATAGGAGTTCTTATAGCCGACTGAAGAAGGCGATAGAAAATCATATAGCTGGCTGTAGAAAGTGGAAAAAATCATACGGCCGGGCTACACGAAGCGATAAAAAATCATACAGCCGGGCTATAGTTCCTATCGTCGGGCTTTACACTTTATCGCCTGGCTGTTGCTTTTTCGCTATCGGCTATAAAAGGCTATAAGAAATGGTGTCGAAATTCGTGTGCTTTGTAAATCTTTAAGTTTGTACGGAATCACCTTAATATTTACAAAACGCACATTATATTTTCCTTTACTACATATTTGTTTTTATCAATTAAAATGAGAATAATCCATACAGAGTGTGCAAACATTTCAAAGTCATGATTTGAAAAACGCTGACTCCACGAGATTAAATATTAGAGCCTAACACAAAGCGGAGCGGCGACGCACTGGCGCCTACAAACCTAACAGGGATACTTCACGCATTGCGCAACGCGTGAAGTATCCCTGTTAGGTTTGTAGGCGCTGGCTGCCCGCCCGTCGCGCCGCAGCGTACCACGACGCTTGAAGCAACTATTTCACACCAGAGGTATTGCACGGTATCATACGAAATTGAAGGCGCTCCAACATATTAGGAATGGTAGGCATCCTGCATGCAAAAGTGCGGAGTTTTCCTCGCAGAATAAATCAAGATACTACGGCCCAAAAAGAGGCCGCGGTAGTTCAAAAACTCACTAAGTCCTAGCATCCGTAATTAGTAACGTTTAGCATGCACTGTATCGGCAGGCTGTTGCTTAATCGCCATCGGCTATAAAAGGCTATAAGAAATTGTGTTGCCGGGTATAGTAGCTATTGGAAATCTTACAGCCGGCTGTAGGTCTATGGTATTTTGGAACACAGATTCTACTGTCAATTTTTACCAGGGATTCCCATTTAAAAAATAAAGTATGACAAGAAGTCTGCAACACCGCTAAAGAAGATACGTTGTTTCGCACTCTAGCCATCGATATGCAATACGCACAAAATAACACAAAAAACAAAAGCATAATTTTCCGCATATTATTTCGAAAAATATTCTTCAATGTATTCCATAAATATCTGAAATTCATTTTGCAATTTTTTAATTATATTTTTTTATGAAAAAGCGTAACACTTAAAGAGCCATGAGCACAGGATTGGCGTGCTTACCATACTTTCTCTTGATGTAATTTAGCAGAAAAGAACCATGTCACACCAGTTTTTGCCAAATTTCATTACGCATCTAATTTTTTACATGAAAACGGCTGTGCGGATTTTTGAGAAAATGTTAGTGAATTTGTTGCATAGTACGAAGCAAATTCCTTAAAATGTTCAAAATAATTCGAGAAAAAGTTCTCTTGTAAGAGACTAAATTGTCCGGTTAAATTTGGCAATAGCTGGTGTGGTTTGGTTCCATTCTGCTAAACGCAGTTCATTTTAAGCTCAGCGCAACGAAAATTTTGTGAAATTTGTGCGTCTTAATGCGAGCTTTTAGCCTGGGTCCCCCCAAGGAACTTGAAAATTAGATGAAAGAGACATTATAATCTGTTGCTGCAATCACACGCTGAATTTAGCAGCTGAATGTGGAAGTCAACAGTCATCGCCCAACGGCTGAAATTTAGCAAATTCGAGTTATTTTCATCCAGATGTGTATCAAATCTACTCGAATAGTTCAAACAAATTCAAAATTGGCCCGATGGTTGCTGAGAATCGTTCCTGAATTTTGCGCGTCACGCGCAAAATTCAGCCGATGATGAGATTCGGGCCGATGACTTCCACATTCAAGGCACATTCAGCTCCCTTATTCAGCGTGTGATTGCGGCACTAGTGGGTAACCCTTTCTGCAGCTTTCATCTTAGAAAAAAAACCAATTTTATTGTTGGGGCGGGGGACGATGGCCCCTATCGCCATCCCAAATTCGGCGCTGCTAGAAACTCCCTCAAATATCGCCATCCTCGCATTAGATCCTGTGGGTCGATTGTTGAATCGTTATCGATTGAACTCGATCGATAAATCCCTATCTTAGCAATGCTTTTTATCGATCAAGGTCATTCGATAACGATTCAACAATCGACCCGCAGGTTCCCTCAGTCCTTTTAACATGTAGCTTTCTTGTTTTTCGTAGGCACATGCACATTAATCCTGGGCGAACGGCTAGGGTTCTTGGAGCAAAACATAAGCCCGGTAGCAAGCCGCCTCGCAGACGCAGTCAAGGGTCAGTTCATCGCGTCAAGAGACACATTTTACGGCTTGCCATTCTGGAAGATTCTCCCCACTCCGGCATATAAACGACTTGTCGAAAGTGAAGACACAATTTACGAGTAAGCACTTGAATCTTTTACACACAAACGTGTATAACACGATGATGAAGTCGTTCCGGACCTTGACAGTCAACGGAGTTGAGCCACTTGCCTTAATTACTTAGTTGGTTGATAGGTGACCGCCGCCCGGACACGATATACTCCGCAGGCAGTGCGAATGCGTGAATGCAGTCGCGTTGAAAGAGCACGGTCATATCAACGTGGAGAAACATTTCCGAAAGCGTCCATGGGGACGTCCAAAGACCGAAGTAGCATTTTTCAACGGAAAAATCGCGATTTGTTGCGATTTTGTAGGCGATAAACTCGCTAAGATCATCAACATCTGAGCGATTATGATCGATCTTGTTGCAATAAAATCGCAATTTCATCGCCCGGCAATTTATTGCGATATTATCGTAACAAAAATCGCGATATATGGCGATTTAATCTCGATTTTATCGACGAAAATTGATCGCGATTTTATTGAACAAAATATTGCAATGCATAGTGATTTAATCGCCGTAAATCGCAATTTTTTATTCGATAATATCGCGATAAATTGCCACCGACATATAATCGCGATAATCAACCGATGAAATCGCTATTTATCGCGATCACTGCTACTTGGGGAAGGAAAGATTCCAATCATAATGAGCCAGTTGCGCTGGTAACATAATTGTGTTTTGATCCTTGATTCTCGTAAATTATCTAAAAATAAGAAGATCTGTTCAAACAGCAACTTTCTAAGTTGAATATTAACCGAGATAGCCTCCTTCGAAAAGTCGGGTTTTTGACGTCATCCACCGCGGTCGTGCGTAACATGGCATGTGATACCGCGGTGGATGACGTCATAAATCGAGTTTTTCAAGGAGCGATATCTCGGTTAATATTCAACGTAGAAAGTGCTGTCTGAACGGATATTATTATTTTTAGCTCATCTACAAGAATCAAGCATTAAAACACAATTCTGCGACCAGCGCAACCGACCCGTTTACATGGTAAAATATGCATCGTATTCGATACGTCAAAAGGTGAGATAGTATCGATATCGATTGGTTCAATATGCTGCCGTCCACAGGACGCCGTAACTCCAATCAAGTCTTTGCATTTTTATTCCATGCGTACTGTCCTATCACAAGAAAATCTGATCACTATCATGCTTTATTTTGTAAATCTAAAATCTTAATGGCATGCTACAGTTAATTTAGATTTATGAAGGATGAATGAGAGGTTTGGAGGACAAGGCGCATAAGTGCAGTTTTTGAAAAATTGAGATTCTTATAAACTCAAATATTACTAGTTTGAAATTATATTCCATGAAAAACTCACACCCAAAATCTAATTTAAGGCATCAAAAAGTGAGTTTAAACTTCCTTCGCGCCTTACTGATCCATGTAATTTTGAAACTTTAAACGCGTAATTCTTGAAACAGCAAAAACTGCACTTATGCGCATTGTCCTCCAAGCCCCTCAAATGATCGTTGATTTTTTGGTAATAGAACATTGTTTCAATAAAATATGGAAACATTTAGCGGGTTCTTTGCGATAAATTTGTCCTTCTTATGAGTACAGAGTGGCAATGAAAAGTGAAATTGTGAGGAGTTTCCTCATTTTTAGCTTTTCCAACTTAAATCCTAAATTTGTTCTTGAGGGTAAACTCTATTGTTTTGAACCAAACGATACATCGAACCACTATCGAATACGATCCATTGTTACTATACCGAAGTGTTGCGTATGTTGCCTATTCACTGATTGAAGGGGCATCTCTCACTAAAATGTATTGCAAAAAAATTGAAAAAAATTGCAATTTTTTTGCATTGAATATTGCTTAACTTTCTCCTACGTGGGACATATTTAATGGACCTTTGAAAATCGGAATTTACCGAATAAGCGCCTATAACTTTTGAAACGAACTTTTCAAGAGATAACGTATTCCATTTTCTTGGTATTAGGAACAAAACTTAATGTGCTTATCAGTGATACGCGTAGTATTCAACGCCTTATCAATCAATGAGGACATATAATCTATAGCACTAATTCGTAATTTTAGTTTTTTGTTTTTCTTTTTACAGAATCATATCAGAAATGGTAGATAAAACTTTAAAAGCGGAAACAAACAAGTGTGCCGTTGACCCGGTGCAAAGTGTTTTTATGTCTATATTACAAGCGGAAGGAATGGAGTTATGTGACAAAAAGGCGGCGATCATTGACTTTATCGCTGCTGGAATAAAAACAGTAAGTCCGATTTCAATAAAAATATGAAGTACGAATGTAAAAATAACCAGCAAAAGATGTCTAGCTTCGGAAGTGAGATGCACCTATTCGAACTTCTACGAGGTGTAGTATCACACTTAAATGAAGGCTAATCTTGGCGAGTGAATTCAAACGGAAAGGCCCAAGTTCTGAAGTCCGGAGCGGAGTGTCATCCTTAGAATATAATTCACGCGAACGGAGCAAACTCGTAAATTATTCCATTTTTACTATCCACTTTAATGACTTTAAAGTGAGAAATCACGCATGACCGTTTCTTTTGACAACATATTTTTAGGACTCCCCTTTGATCAGTGACGTCTATAACTAACTTTCCAAGTTTTTCAATGCTGAGGTGCCTTTTTCTGTAAACGGCCAGACGGTAATATACGGGTTTTCAGCTAAAGGGACAAAAGTTTTGTTGCCACTTTTTACATTTTATCATATTTATTTACTTTTTTCTGCGATGGTCCACTAACAAGGTTGGCCACAACATCTTCTCAACGGAAAAACCTCGTTGAGTTCAATACTGATACGCGCGCTTAGCGAGCTATTTTCAAAATTTACATTCACTGAAAAAAAAAACACATTGGATCTAGAGTCCAGACTCTTAAAAACATCGACAAGAAAAAATACTTTTGATTCAATCGGATTTTTGCTTAAATCAAGAACCAAGCCTCTTAATTTGAGCGGATTTTCTTTTAATTTAAGCTTAAATCTGATTGAATCGAGAGTAATTTTTCTTGTCAATGTTTTCAAGAGTCTGGACTCTAGATCCAATGTGTTTATTTTCCAGTGTTGGTTATTTCAGACGGATTTTGGTGCGATAATGTGGGCTTTTCGTAATTTCGGCGACAAACTTCCCTTTTTAACTCACCACTTTTCTACTTGATTTCATGCACTAAAATTATTCTTCCCTCAAAGGCACTGCCTAGTCATGAATTTTAATCATTTCAGAACCAACTAATTTTTAGAATCAAAAGGTAAACGGAGGGATGCGTAGCCGAAATGACGGCCAAAAATGTGTCCATCATTTCGGTGACACACCCTTCTCTATACCCTGTATGCACCATAGAGTACATAGAGTCGTAATGTAAGTGGGAGAGCTGGCGCCACTTTTAAGCATTTTCCATGTCCCGAATTCCGAGACTCCTGTGTGACGCCGGGTCACTTTTTCGATACATAATCGATTGTTTGCGATACACGGGTACCCGGCCATCCGATGACAACAACAACAACAACAACAACAACAACAACAACAACAACAACAACAACAACAACAACAACAACAACAACAACAATAACAACAACAACAACAACAAAGGAGATAGGAATTACCACGTATTCCACACCGCCATTTTGGATCGAAAATGTATCGAAAAAGCGACCCGAACTCGGCGCACACCGGGCTCGGAATTCGTCGAGCAGAACATGGCGCCAGCTCTCCCATTTACATTACGACTCTATGTACTCTATGGTATGCACCCATGCGTATGTAGACGTATTTTGTAAACGGTGTGTAGAAAATTTTATCTTCTGCACTGTTAATAATTATTATCTGTTCAACTTTTTCAGTTAGGAAACACACTTGTGTTTCTCCTTTATTTAGTGGCAAAACATCCGGAAGTTCAAGAGAAGATCTATGAAGAACTAGAAGGGCTTGTAACAGATGGATGCCCGTTATCAACGAGTACTCTGAGGCATGCAACTTACTTGAAGGCGTGCATTGCAGAAGCTTTCAGGTATTTCATTTTACCCATGTCGAGACGCTTTGTAGTATTTTTACAGGCGCCGTTGCAATGAGGTGACATAATCTTGCTTACAGAATATTATCAAGAAAATTTCGCTGTAGAATTGCAATACTCTTTCAGCTGTTAACCAAATGCTTACAAACTTTTTTTCGCAATAGTCTGCCCTGGTACAAATTGGCAGTAGAATCTGTGTTCCAAAATACCATAGACCTACAGCCGGCTGTAAGATTTCCAATAGCTTCTATACCCGGCAACACAATTTCTTATCGCTTTTTATAGCCGATGGCGACTAAGCAACAGCCTGGCGATAAAGTGTATGCTAAACGTTACTAAATACGGATGCTAGGACTTAGTGAGTTTTTGGACTACCACTCTCTTTTTGGGCCGTAGTATCTTGATTTATTTTGCGAGGAAAGCTCTGCACTTTTGAAGGATGCCTGCCATTGCTAATATGATGGAGCGCCTTCAGTTTCGTATGATACTGTGCAATACCTCTGGTGTGAAATAGTTGCTTCAAGCGCCGTGGCACGCCGCGCCGCGGCTGGCGAGAGCGACTAGCGCATTGGCGCCTACAAACCTAATATAACAGGATACCTCACGCATTGCGCAATGCGTGAAGTATCCCTGTTAGGTTTGTAGGCGCCAGTGCGCCGCCGCTCCGCTTTGTGTTAGGCTCTAATATTTAATCTCGTGGAGTCAGCGTTTTTCAACTCATGACTTTGAAATGTTTGCACACTCTGTATGGATTATTCCCATTTTAATTGATGAAAAAAAATCATGTGCGTTTTATAAATATTAAAGTGATTCCGTACAAACTTAAGGATTTACAAAGCACACGAATGTCTACACAATTCCTCATAGTCTTTTAGAGCCGATGGCGAAAAAGCAACATGCCAGGCGATAAAGTGTAAAGCCCGGCGATAGGAACTTTAGCCCGGCTGTGTAATTTTTTATCGCTTCGTGTAGCCCGGCGGCCGTATGATTTTTTCCACTTTCTACAGCCAACTATATGATTTTCTATCGCCTTCTTCAGTCGGCTATAAGAACTCCAATGGTATTTTGAAACGCAGCTCCTATCGCCAATTTTTACCAAGGTGTCCACATTGATGATGGACAATACAACTAGCATGGCTATTCTGCCGTGATAGCGAAGAGAGCAGGAAGTGCAAAAATGAAGTTATGAGAAAATGAGCTCAGAAGCGTCTGACCGGAAAATTTTATCGAAAGAAGCCTCCGTTCTTTCTCAAACTGCCACTTATCATAAGAAAGACTCGTAGAAATCGTTTGGATGATTAAAAATCGATCGATTTTAATTCAATTACATAGGTAACACAGTGGTCTTGAAGCAAAAAAACAGCTACAAAAATGTGCCAAAAACGGTTTGCAGGGAGTGAGGCTGTGGTACGTGTGAACTTAAAATCGTGAAGAATCAAAATCTTGGCTGATCCTAATATCGAGGTATCGCCGCACAAACTAGTAGCTTAGGAGAAAAAAAAATCCTCTCGAAAACAACTATGAAGAGGAGAGAAATTTTTTCTTTCCTGGGCAACTAGTCGGTACATAGGACAGAAATGTTTTTTCTCCTGAGCAACTAGTTATTGCTTAGGAACGGATACATTCCTCTCCTTAGCACAAATTATTTACTCGGGAGAAAAAACATTTCTCTCGAAAACAACTACTCCATGAAGAGGAGAGAAATTTTTTCTCACCTTGGCAACTAGTCGGTGCAAAGGAGAGAAATTTTTCCACTCCCGGGCGACTAGTTTGTGCTTAGGAATTCTTCTCCTCCTTTTTCCTTTCATTCTCTTTTTTTAACCAAACATTTCGCCTTCTGCTGCGTCTGAAGCAATTGTTGTTATAAATATGTTGTGCGAGCTGATTTCTGCTGATTACATACTCGACTCCTTGAAGGCGTTTTATGTGGTAAAGTGGCGCAGTCTTTCGAAGAACCTACGAAGTAGGGATTGAGAGATTCATTCCATCTGACTTCTCTTATTCTCCAATAGGGTGCTCTACTCTCGCACATAAAACGCCTTCAGAGAGTCAAGTATGTAATGTTCTAAAATCAGTACGCACAACATATTCGTAACAACAACTGCTGCAGATGCAGCAGAAGGCGAATTGTTCAGTTTAAAAAAAAAGAATAGGATAGGTAGTCTGCATGTAACGAGAGGGTATGCATTTGATCGACATGAATAAAACGATAAATAAAACCATGAACTGATTCAGTTTCCGTTCAGTTTAAAAAAAAAAGAGTAGGATAGGTAGTCTGCATGTAACGAGAGGGTATGCATTTGATCGACATGAATAAAACGATAAATAAAACCATGAACCTATCAACACCGATTTATTGGACAAATGTACAAAAAAGCGGACGATAATCAGTAGAAAACTTGCATTCACCACAAAAATTTCAAATCGCGATTTCTCGAAAGTAGGATCAGCTAAGATTTTGATTTTTCACGATTTTGAGTCCATCTGTACCATAGACGCACCGCGTGCAAACCGCTTTTGAGTACATTTTCGTCGCATTTTTTTTTTGCTTCAAGACCACTGTGATAATAAGGGGCACATACCCTCTCACATACATTAAGGGGGGGGGGGCATTACAATGTCATGTTAGGCTAGTGTTAGGCAAGGCAGCCGTAAGTGATATCCTCCACTGAAAAAAAAATTGCCGAAATACGGTGACAAATCACCAAATTAGTAAAATCAACCCGGTGTTCTTAATCTATTTTGATGAGTTATCACCTTTTTTCACTATTTCATGTGTTGATTTTAGCAGTTTTTTTTCAGTGTCATCTGCATGCTTTCATGGTTGCGTAATTGACAAAAAACAAACATATTTTAAGGTTAGAGATTGGCAGAAGAGGGCAGCACTTTTATATGTCTCGCTTTCATACAATTAAGACGAATTTGCTGTTTCAGCTATTTCAGTGATTTCATCTAAAAGAGATTAGAAGAATTTTGAAGGAAATTCGATTTCGAAAATTTGGCACCTACTGCCATCTTCGCTATCACGGCAGAATTGTTGACTTTTGCAATATGGGAGCATTACATAAAAAAGAGCATGTAATACAAGTAATATTCCCGACAAATTTTTGAGCATTTCTGCTCACTCAACCGCAGCGTGTCATTTATTTTAATCGGCTGTAAGGTATAGGATCATTGATTACTAATTGCAACTTGCAACGGAATATTACTTTTAATGTCAGCTCATTCCAAGCCATTTTAGTCATCGAATGAAATGATGTATGATATGTGATGACGATGAATGTCTATGATGAATATTGATCTGATAATTATTGATTTTTTTTTTTCAGGGTTCTTCCGACTGCCCCTTGTGTCGCAAGGATATTAGAGTCAGAGACTGAGCTCAGTGGCTACTTGCTCCCGGCAGGGGTAGGTATTACCTCATCCATTCCTCTTTGTTTTTTTGTTTTTTTATTTGTTTTTTTGATTTCTTTATTTACGAATACTTTCGCAAAAGTCTTGAAATCTGATTCGTTACGATCTTTATACGAGCTTTTTATGCACAACTTTAAATAATTACCCGTTTTAATTTTTTGACGACTCAAGTAGTAGTGATCGCGATTAGTTGCGATCTGATCGGAGAATGTATTGCGATTTTATCGACGCGACGTCGATTTATTACAATATTGTCAGATAAAAAAATGCGTTAAATTGCGATTTCATCGCATAAAATTTCAAGAAAACGTAATACATTTTTATCGACGGCGCTTTATTGCAGTTTATCGAACAAAAAATCGAGGTAAATTGAGTTGAAATTTTGATTTCATTGAACGCGATTTCAGAGAGATATAAAATTGAGACAAGATTAAGGATAATCGCTCAGATGTTGATGATCCTAGCGATTTTATCGACAAAAAATCGTAAAAAAAATGGCAACTTAATTTTTAAAAAATCACAATTTTTCCGTTAAAAATTGTCACTTGAGGAGTTGTTTTTCGAGCAGAGGTACTACCTAAGTAGCACAGTGCAACTAACATATTGAAATTAAATTGCAATTTGATTTCAATACAATTGTAATTTTTTTACCATTTAATTGCAATATTTTTACATCATTTAGGCGCTTTACGCAGATTTTAAACAATCAACAAAATGACCTCCATGTGCCAGAAAGATAGGCATTATGCAATGCATTGAAAAATTGCAACTTATTTCAATTATATTGCAATAAGTTTCAATAAACGGGGCCCCTTCAAATAGGAGCTAGGCAACATACACAACACTCAGTGGACTTGCAATATTGTTACAAGTAATTGCTACTTATTGCAATCTGTGTTACTTGGGAGGGGAGTTTATTTTTCCTCTTCACGATAAGTTTAACCTGCAAAAATGATCAGTAGACGAACTGATGCAAAACGTAGAAATCCAAGTTTTTATTCATGCTGAGTTAAAAAGTACCGATCGATGAATTTAAGATAAAACTTTTCGTGGCTGAAAGATTTTTTTGGACTAATTTTATCAATTTATTAACTAACTCTGATTTCCTTTTTATTAACTGGTTTTATCTTTGCCGTCGTTTACTTTCCTTTACAGAGCGTGGTATTATGCCACACTTGGCTGGCAAGTCAAGAAGAGTGTAATTTCGTCGACGCCAAAAGTTTCAAGCCTGAAAGATGGCTGGATAACTCCGCAGTGAGATACCCCTTCTTGGTTTGTCCTTTTGGAGTGGGAAAGAGGATGTGTCCCGGTAAACGCTTCGTCGAACTAGAGCTTCAAGTTGTCTTAGCTCAGGTATGTTCTCATCTTAGGTGGTGACTTTGCATAGCTCTTTATTTATTTCTCTGATCGACCGAGACCCAATTTGCTTTCTGAATGATCAGAATGCTGCCACGCAACACAAATTTGACAAAAATATGATACAATTGGACTACATTTTGCAATTTGGAACTATAAATTCTAGCCCGGTTTAAAAACAACGTAGGTGCCATTAGTTTCCCTATGCACATACGTGTTTTTCCAGAAGAGCCAGAATTTATAGTTCCAAATTGCAAAATGCAGTCCAATTATCTTGTATCTTTTGTCGTCATGACATGACACCTGACGATGAAGTCATGAATTGCATTATTTTTGTCTTTGCCCCTCATATTTTCTTTCTCTGTTGCTTTGTCTGAAGTGCTTTATTAACTTTCAATGCAAGAAAATCAGGGTTTCTCTTGAAAGAAAACAGCGAGTGCGCCAAGTGTACAATAATTTTGAATCACCGCTTACAGATGACAGAGAAAAAAGGAGTTTCTTGAATTGGGGCACCTATATCCATAAACTATAATCCGCCTGAAAAAGAGGGTAACGCAACATGCGTGGCTTGCAATCCGTTTCGGCAGACTAGTAGAAGGTTTTTAATTTCCCGCAGTCGAGACACTTGTCCCCCACAATACCTACGGAATTTTTTCTCGGGTTTCCCCGATTTAAGTGATGATAAATTTATTTTTCTTTTACAGACAGTAAGGAAGTTCCATATTGATTTCGATGAGGAGTTGGATCTACAGTTCGAGTTCCTGCTTGCGCCTAAATCTCCGACGAATATAATACTACGAGATAGGCACTAAAATCGTTCGATTTCTTTCCCCGGGCGTTAAATTCGTGCGGAAAATGGTCTTATCTTTTTCCGGTGAAGAGAAGTATTAATAATTTACCTTCGATAAGATTTTGTTTTGAGGAATGTGACTGTTCAATCTGAAAATACCACCGAGTATGTAAAGAAGGATTAATGACCTCCAAATATAACTTCATGACTGTGCTCACTTAGGTCTTTTTTACCCAAGTTTTTTTTTTTTTTTTTTTTTTTTTTTTTTTTTTTTTTTACATAGATATAGTATGAAACGTTACATATTTTAAGCTACTTGTAAGTGTGGCATTTATAATCATACTTTAATTTGTGTGTATAAGAGTTTAGTATTTAAATTAGTGTGAATTGAAATTAGAAAAAGTATGCTCAATGAAATGTTTCAAAATCAACCCTACAGAAATATGTTTAAACTAAATACGAAAGGGGCGTATTTTTCCTTGCCCTGCCATAGAGAAAAGGCACGGTTAAGCAAAGTCAATTTTATTATTTTCCTGTGAATACATCATATTATTATCTCTATCGGGAGATGATTTTCGAACTTTTTACTGTACTGTTTATAGTTTTTGCCCCGTGAAATTATAGAGTGTAAAGATGAAACTATATCGACGGTGAAACTACCAAACCACGTATCTCGGTTTGCGACGTCGCAGACTTCCTGTCATTCTTTATTTTTTAAATGAAAAACTACTTAACGTCCAGTCTTGAAAATTTCTGTGATTTTTCCTCTTCGTGCGGAGAAAATTCTGTGAAAGTTTCAAGGAATGATATTGATTTGGTCTACTTCAAAAAAGTAGAATGCGAGCGTAGATTTTTAAAAACCGCAAACGAGATACGTGGTTTGGTAGTTTCACCGTCGATATTCATATTTTGCTACACTAACTTAGTATTTGTGTCCTTAATATGAGATTCATGGAACCGATAAATAATCAAATTGCAATCATTGAACCCGATTCGTTTCATAAGCATCTAGTCAATTTTTTTTTAAAGTCTAGTTATTCACCTTTTCAGAAAATGAAAAATCTTATCGTATCTTGAGTTGTACGTTGTTTTCAAGCAACGAGAGGAAATTGGACTACAGTTTGCAATTAGGATCCACAGTTTCTGGCTCAGATTAGAAATAAAGTGTGCACCATTAATTTTCCTGTGCACATAAGTGTTTCTACGGATGAGCCAGAAATTCTAGTTCCAGATTGGAAAATGTAGTCCAATTGGACTGCATTTAGCAATTCGGAGCTATAATTTTTGGCCCAGTTGAGAAACAACGTATGTACCATTAGTTTCCCCGTATATTGTATATGTGTTTTAACGGATGAGCCACATTTTGTAGTTCCGAATTGCAAAATGTAGTCCAATTGAGACTCGCCTTTACTTTTCTCTCAGTCTTTGGAGCCATTCAATTTACTTGCCTTGGGTAGAATCCACGCCACATTTACGATTTTTTAGAGTGCGACAGAAGATTTGACGTTTTTTTATTTACTTTCAGTGCTAAGCTGAAAAAAGGTGATTTTCTGTTACAATCGAAGGGTCTGTAAACTTATTTGGCGTAGACTCTCCTTTGACTTACAGGGAAAAATCCTAAATTTGCTCCAAAAATCGAATTTCTTCCTTCGTCGTTTTGAGATGAAAACCTTTGCTTCTCCTGCTCTTCATGGAGAACACCTCACAGTCATTTTAGCTGCATCATGATTTTTGGATATTCGACTGTATTCTTTGGAAGTGTTCAATTTTCATGCATCAACTAGTCCTTGTTAAGCTTTTTTTATTATAAATAAGTCTGCCTAAGTTAAGTATATCCACCTGATGTTGGTACAAAGTACAGTAGTTAAGTGAATATATATTTTTTAATTCCTCTCTGTATGCGATTATGCCATTATATTTGAAGTTAAATAATCAAAATTGAATTCTTGACTACTTTATTTCGTTTCCAATGCGTGCAATGAAAGCAAATCAGAGGCACAGTCCGTATGCACAGGAATAAAACAACGCTTCAAAAACTAGCGACAGCTCTGTTTCAGGAAGGAAAGAGTGGAACAAAATATAATTTTCGCCAGTATATTCACCAGACTTCATCGTGATAGTTCGCCATTGCATCATTGCACTCAGGAAATCATGTACGTGAATTTAGCTTGTGACGTTGAAGATTTCCTGTTACGTTTCATTTTGTTGAAAGAGCAATGATCACAGTCACGATTTTTCAAAGTTGGCAACAATGTTTTTTCTCCATTTAAATGTATGTAAAACGATCGATTCTTGGTGAGGCAGTTTGTCTCACCTAAAATCGATATTTAAAAAAAAAAAATAAATGGAGGAAAAACAGTGTTGCCAACTTGCAAAATTGCCACTGAAGGATCATCGCTTTTTCTCCGAATTCCGTGCGATTCACTAGGATTGTTCCTCAAAAATTTCTCCCTTTAGTCTTGCAAAAGGAACAAAATAATTTTTAAAAAAAATCAAAACAAAAGATGACTCAATAAAGTATGTTAAAGGAAACTTTACGTATCATGCTCCGATACCTTTTTTTTGGGTTGCTATTTCAAGGATCGGCAAGTTTGTAATACATTTAAATTATACATTTCTCGGAAAATTGGCAATGTTGCGACAAAAATAATCAGTAATGATGTACTTCATCGGCACAATCGGCAAAGCTGGAATTATAAGTTAAAGTATAAAAAAACAACCAAAACTTCAGTTAGTGTTGCATGCGACGGAATACCTACTGAACGAATTTCAGTAGAACGCCTAGATGAAACTATTTGGACTCCACGGATGTCTTTGTTGCATACGCACAGATGTGAAGGCGTTCTGACTTCAGACACTAACCGCCTCACCAGCGACGGCGTGCCGTCCAGCGTGCACTGACGCCTACAAACCTAAGGGGATACTTCAAGCATTGCGCAATGCTTGAAGTATCCCCTTAGGTTTGTAGGCGTCAGTGCGCGTTTCGAGCTGACAGCACGCCGCGCCGCAACGTGCCTTAAACAGATTGTTAAAATGTGGGCAATTTAACATCAAATTCGAAATTAGCGACTCAAAAACAGTAGTCACAAAACTTTCTTGATCTTTTATTCATTATTCGACTTTTTTCTTTCTATTTTTGAGTTCTGGACCATAGTGCGACGCGACGCTGCGCCTCGTGCCGCAAGTGAAGTGGTGAGTGCCTGGATAGTCGAAACGCCTTCTCTTCCGTGCGTATGCAACACGGACATCCACGGAGCCTTAATAGTTGCATCCAGGATTTAAAATGAAATTTGAATAGTGTTCGTCGCATTTGACACTATCTAAGGGCTATGTCGACGGCGCGTAAGTCCGCGATCACAGATCTCGTTTGCGGTGTCTTTTCCGCCTCTATGTTATTTTCGTAAGGAGAACAAATTGACATCATTCCTTGAAGTTTTTGCAGAAGTTTCTTCGCACAGAGAAGAAAATTCACGGCAGTTTTAAAGAATTGCCGTTGAGTAGTTTTTCGTTTAAAAAGTAAAGTATGACGTATAAAAATAAAGTGTCTGCAATGTCGCAAACCGAGTTATGTGATTACCGACTTACACCGTAGATATATTATTTTATTGGTTGAAAATGTCTAATTGTGCTTATCTTTTTAAAAATAATAACAAAAATTTCTCTTTGAAAAAAAAGCAAAACTGTTGGCTAGTGTAGTGGTCCGGGTAGGTTTCCCTTTTTTTCCTTCATTTTTTCCTCCTCTTCTTCTTCTTCTTCTTCTTCTTCAAAAAAGATAGCCTGAAATAAGTACACACCTTGGCGATTGCCCCGAGAAAAGCTCTTCCTACCTGATTGTACCTATCAGACAGAGACACTTAGAAGTGAGAAAAGTTATAAATGAAACCATCATCGATTTATTGAATTATTATTCACGTGTATTACAATGAAAGTACAAAAGATGTCATCCTCCACAAATCCATCGTAACACCAATAATAAAACTTACATCTATGACTCGCAAAATTTACAAAGCGTAAAGATTTGACATTTTTGATCTTCCAACAGTGAAGAGGTTTATGATGAGCGTTGAAGTAAATTGAGAAAGTTACTTCCAGTGGTAGATCGATTGTGAACTGAATTCGTGAATTTTTCACCGAAACATTGTTCGGTTGAGAATATAAAGGTATCACGCTATAAGCTATCGTTATGATTTTGAAGGAGTGGTTAAACTACTTAAGATGACTAGAAATCGATCATATTGTTGAAAAATTAGCCAAAATATCAACCTGCAAGTTAAATCATAGGTGCCAACTCTCCCCATGAAGTTTACGTGGGTATTTGTTAAAAAAAGTAATCCACCACGTGAGTATAGGTAATGTCTAAGGGAGAGGTCAAACAATATTTAAACTCAATCTTTAATATTTTGATATTTTCTAACTTTTTCTCCAATATTTTGATAAAAAAATTAATCGATATGTTTCTGAAAGTTATGTGAGGAAGTGTTTTTTTTTTGTTATGTTGGTTTCTTATGATCGCTTTAAAAATATCATCATTGCATTTTTTTGAAGAGAATCATAATCCTAAATCTTTTGATTTTTTTTTCTGCAGTTTCATAGAAAGTACGACTTTGGGTCATAAAAATCCAAGGAATTTTGTGTTCCGAATCTCTTCCTAATGGTCGCTGCAAGAAAATTATGTTTAAGATGAGGTAGATTTTTAGATGCTTATCTTAAAATTTAGTGTTTTTACATAAATATGCAGCTGCCTTTTTACAACGCACTCATGTCGCCGAAAACTATCGGGCCGAGATATGGTACAATACTATTTAAACGGTGTTACTTTACTTCATACCGTAAAATTTTTTTATTTGAAGGTGCGTGTGTAAAAATGAGCAGAAAACTTTTATCTAGTTGATAACATATTCTACTTCATAAATACTTAAAACTACATAATTATAATTTAAAACTAATTGCACTCAATAGCATTTATATCACAGTGCTTTTTAAGGAACTTTTTCAATCTAAATCCGTCGGCGCAATCGAGCCATTAATAGCTCAAGCCGTGGGCTGGAAAAATGTCTTCCTGCCAATTCTGCCATTCCTTGCTTATTTGATAGGCTGATTTTACGCGGTTGTATTGCGTCATCAACGGAACGTGTTATCTTCCAATCAACGTAATATCGTAACTTTAAAAAATTCAAAAAGAACACTCTAAAAAGGTATACCTACTCTTTTGGCTGGAATGTACATTTTTATAATTCGGTGCAAATAACAAGGAATCAAAACGTACTCGGCTTACCTTTAATTCGCGACAATTTATGTAATTGGAAAATAACAAGTTCCATTTTTATTTAGACGATAATTCCTAAATTATTGGGACGTTCATTCAAGTGCTCTTTTCAAAACGATCATTCGAATCTGCCTTTCTATCGCCAACTACTATGGCATTGACCACTATTATGACAATATTACATTGCCTCTCTCAACAAGATTCTTTTACTCTCATAGAAATGAAAAATAATAAATTCCTAATATAGGAACCTGGGCATATGTAAGTATTTAATGTACTTGCTGATGATGCAGATAAAGCAGCTGCTAGGATCAGAGGCAATGAACTACCTGTAAATTGCACAATTCTGAGCTTTCCGTGGTCATTTTATTTAAAATATTCCTCATATTTTGCTCATAAAGGAATTTCTTCATGTTTTGTCGAAAATAATGGTCATAAAGATTCTCCCAAAGGTTCTCTAAAAAAAATCCTTAAATCCCTAAATTTGAGCGGTTTTATTGAAAGAAAAAACTGTTCCATTACAAGCAATTTTTAAGTAAAAATGACTTAAATTGAGCAGTATTTCAATATTTTTTTCTTTTTCTTTATTTTTGTATCATCAAGTAATTATTCATCAAAAATTACTCAAGATTTATTTTTGAATCAACTGTATACCGCTCTCCATGAATAATTTTTGGTAAAGGAACGTAAAAGTCCCCAAAAACATTAAATGGATTTTTAAGCTTACTTTGAGACCTTGATGATATTTAAAATTGGTCATTGACGAATCTTCAAGTTAGTGACACTGCGTTTAGTCTACTTAAATGTGTTTAAAATCATCGATATGTATTCTATGTGCGGGTGACTAGTGCCCCTCTTCAAATCAATTGGACGTATCTCTGCCAAACGGAACTATGTGCAGTTAGACATGAACTCTGAGATCCATAAGAGTAAATGCATAACAGGGCTCACGTCATAATGCCCATAGTTCCGTTTGGCAGAAATACGTCCATATATGACTTTAAATGGAAGGAAAAAAAGTATTTCCAAGTCGTGACCACAACCATTAACGGGCGAATCTGAACAATTCAATGATAGGACACGCGATGGCTGAACAGATACTTAAGAAGGAATAAATCAATAAATGCCCACAGAATCAGTTGAAATTGCACGGAAATTGCACTACCTCTGATCCCACTAGCTTTCCATACTGTCAAAATGAGATTCCTAGAGTTCTAACCGTCTCAAGTTTTAAGTAAGAAACAGATATCAAACGAGAGCCTGCAAAATTTGGGATTCGCAATGAATTCAAGATTCCATAATCGTGATCGCTTGCTGACCCGGAGTTACGAATCAAGGGCAGAAGGGAGCTGCTGGGTACGGAATTTTACCGGGAAAGGCGTAAGGGTCCGGGTTGAGAACTTTGCAGAGCGCGTTGTACTTCTCTTTGCCTGATCTGCCTTGCCGGGCAGGGTACTGATTGAATTCGCCACCAGACCTGGAACCGTAACCTCCGTAGCCCCCGTAGCCTCCGTAACCACCGTAACCTCCGTTGCCTCCGTAGCCCCGAGATGGGTTGAAGAGCTCGTCCCACCAGGTGGGAGCTGGCGCTGACATCACTGTTACCAACGAAAGCCACAAAGCGACAACGATTGCAAGCCAGTTCATGATGCTGATTTAATTTCGTCTGCTCGTTTGGCACTACTTTTAGTCTGAAACAGGAAAAATTTCAAGATTATGATTGAAAATGGTCGATTCCTGGAGGATGTATTCTACGATACCTTGAAAACTGAAGGCGTAATAAATGGTATCTTTTGCAAGAATTAAGACCAAGTGAGGGACCTGGAGGACAAGGCGCATGAGTGCAGTTTTTGAAAAAATTAAGATGTTAATGATTTCAAGTAAAACTAGTCTTCATGCATTTTCTGAGAAAAATTCGCTCCCTAATTCCAAAGTTTAAGCATAAAAAAGTCAGTTTGAACTTTTTCCCGCCATAATAAGGATCCATGTAATTTCAAAACTTCAAACACGTATTTCTCGAAATATCAAAAACTGCACCTATGCGCCTTGATCTTCAAGCCCCTCAAGTGAAAGCCCCTTGTCTCTGTAGATTTATTTTATTCCAAGAGAACCGAGTTGTGCTAATTATTTTTAAATTACATGGAATTTGCCAATTACCACAGAAGAAATCTACTGAAATTTTCAAAGGAATCGGTATCCTTTCGTAAAAAAACAAATTGCACCCGACAATTTGGCAAAATTAGATGTTGCTTGGTTCTCTCTCAAGAAACTTTGTTCAAATGGCAGTGTCTCTGACCTCCACACCCTCTTCGTGTCTACTTCTTCTTAATGTCCAGTCAGAAAACGCCAGCGCCCCCGCGGGCTGATCATTAAAATTGATAACCAAAGCTGTAGACAAAAGAGACAAAGAGAAAATGGAGCAATCCTACTGGTTTTAATGGGTGATTCCTATAGACTAAGGGGAAAATGACTGACTAACCATAGGATCCCTTGCGGACTGTCGTTATTTGGACGTATTTCTATTAAACGGACCTAAGCGCCATAGGGTGAGGAAGGTAGAGGGGGGCTTCGATTGGCGACGGAATCGGGCGTCCGGCTTATTCCGTCCTATACTCGCAATGCTTTTCCATGGCGCTTAGGTCCGTTTGACAGAACGCGCTATCCGGCATTCTAAATTCCTCAAAAGGAACTCAAATTAGCGCTTATTTCCGTTTGATAGAAATACGTCCATTTAGTTTATTACTTACTTCTTTCGTCCATTGTAACCACCCTCTTCCACCGACAGGATTCCTACATTTTCTCTCGTCTTCTTTGCCTATCGTTTTGTCTATCAACTTCCAAAATCAGTCCATTGACTAAAAGTCGCCATAGAGACCCATGGATACCGAGCAAAGTCGAATCACGGATAAAGGAATTTGGACCGTCGCGCCGCGCCAGGTGGAGGTGAGAAATTACACCTTGTCTTCGCACTCAGAGCAGTAACATGCGCATTTCCATAATCGGGAAGAGGCTAAAAATATGTAAAAGATCATATTTCCGGGCGGATTCCTCGCCCGCGACCTCGAGATCCTGGAGACTCAATAGGCTACACCCATAGTTCACCCGCTCGGCCACGACCATGCAAGGTGAGTGAGACATAGGTCGATGGCTGGACTCCGAAACCACATATCGACGGTGAAAATACCAAACCACGTATCTCGGTTTGCGACGTCGCAGACTTCCTGTCATACTTTATTTTTTAAATTAAACGCTACTTAACGTCCAGTCTTGAAAATTTCCGTGATTTTTCCTCTTCGTGTGGAGAAAATTCTGTGAAAATTTCAGGGAATGATATTGATTTGGTCTACTTCAAAAAAATAAAATGTGAGCGGAGATTTTTAAACACCGCAAACGAGATACGTGGTTTGGTAGTTTCACCGTCGATATCTCGTATCTTAGGTTTTACAATTTTTACTAATATTTTATACGTTGAATGACAAACAAATGAATATTATTCCTTGAAATTCGCTTCCTATGCTTGGACATTCCATGGACATGAGGAACTTTCATTGAATATTCCTTACAGAAGAAGAACAAGGTGGAGAAATGGTGCTGGGTCCACACCATTTCGCGGGGAAACAAAGCCAAAAAATTCCAAAAAGAAATTCCAGAAATTTTGACTCTAATTTTGATTTTTGGAATTTCTTAGCNAAATGGTGCTGGGTCCACACCATTTCTCCACCTTGTTACTTACAGTTTGGACCACTTTTTAGTGTTTTTTTTTTTCACAGGAGAAGTAAAGTTAATTTGTCTCATCGATAAAAAGAGTAACTCGCAATAGAGCAGGCCCCTAGACCCATCGATTTCCGTAAATTGAAAAAAAAAAAATAATAATAAAGCAAGGTAAACCGCGGCGTGTATGTGAACTTAGTAACTGGCTTATTTCCGATCAATCTAACAGTACATGATCAAGACTTCTTTTGAAAAAACTAATACAAACAACTTAAAAAAGGACAACCTATAAACTTATGAAGCATTACATACCTGAAATGTGATTAAGAGCTTCTTGACTCTCCTTTATTCTCCAAACTGACTATTTCTGCAACATAATTAAAAATTTAAGGAATTATTCAATTGAAACAGTAAAAAAAAGTGAAATAAGTTATTTTAATGTTAAACAATATGGATATGATGGCGAAAAACGTTACTTTTATTTATCAACTCAGTAACGAGGCATGATTTCCTCTACCTTATAATCGTTTGCTCGTACAAGTAGAAAAGTTTTGGTAACGTTATGAAGCAACGATTCAGAAACGAATAATCAATATTTATGACTGTTTATAAAGAAAGAAGTCTTAATATCGAAAAACACAAAATTTAGAGAGTTGCAACCTTGTAGGAATGCGAAAAGCAGAAAAGCTTGTAGGATCAGCATTCGCGCCTTCAATTATTTTGTATGCAATACGCTCATCCGGTGAGCATGAATAGTTGCAATCAAACGCTACTATAAAACTTCGTAAATGTGCAATGGCGCGGCGCGCCGTACTTTTCGTAAGATGACAGCAGTTGGCCTCACCCGTTTAATCTTACTTAAAACAATCAATGTATAAATCAAAACGGATTGTCTCACTTACTGTTGGCTTTTTACAATAGAGGTAAATGATCGTTATGATGTAAAAACATTGATATCGCCAACTCTCGAGAACCGCTGATGCGCACGTATCGAGGGGGCTTCATGTTTTATTCTTTTTGCTTAAACGAAACGCAATATTACTTTCCTTCAAACATTTTTCAGCGCAAGACCGATTATCAAAAACAACACCTTTCAGTCATCTGAATGATAAAAAAAATATCAATTTATTCAAGGATTGGGATGATCCAAAGGAAAAAGGACCTCCGTAGGGAAATACTTAAAATCGAGAAGTTTATAGCTCTATTTAGAGGGGCATTGGGCCAAATTTTAGCGCCAATAAGTCAAGTTAAATCGGCATTGAGATCGTTTGAAGTTTGCAGCCCAAGAAGAATAGTTTTAAAATAGATCAATTTTCGTCGGCATGTAATTAAATTTATAATTCCTATCGGTACGAAGTGAGCTAGAAACCGGTCCAACAATCTATCGCCCCGATAGATTGTTGGACCTGCTGTATGATTACATGTTGATTTGAAAGTATGAGAATTTTTACCCGACTCGACTTTAATGCCTCCCCGCTCCCATAAAAAATTCGACCCCTTTGATTATCCTTATTTTGTCAACAGAAGGTAAATTTTGCGATTTTACCTTCCAGGAGATACAACGACCTAGTTAAAACGATTTTATGTGGTCATGGATGCCTGTTTTTACTACTAATTTCTTTCGGTTCAAGCGTTTTATCAGAGCAGATTCGCCGTGGGCTATGCCAGAGAGTTCAAAAGATTCCCGCCGACATAAAATTTGCAGATATCGATGTCACATCCGTTCAGCTGCTGGTACTAAACCCAATATGGAAACAAACTTTAATAAACCACTAAAGCGTTCTCTCCTCAGAGAAGACAACGTGAAGATAAAGCTCTGGTGGTAGTCAGTTAGTAACCAGTGAGGGGGGGGGGGGGGAAGGAGATCAGTGATTAAACTCGATGCTCGTTCATTAGCGGATCCAGCAAACTGGCAACATTGTTTTTGCTCCATTAAACCCATGGAAATGTATCGATTCTCGGCGGGGCTAGGTCCTTCAACAAGGATCGATTATTCAACGCATGTTTAAATTGGGAAAATCCAGTGTTGCCAAATCGCTGGATTCGCCTAAACTGTTGATTTAGAGCTCACTCGCACCATTCATTTTCCACTCTTTAGGAACATTCTCAGCATAACTTGGATTTAAATTAGTGCCTGAAGGAGGCTTGCCGCTAATTATAGCTAGACAAGAATGATTGTCTAAACTCGTCGATTAGATGTCCCGATGCGAGCGATTTTTGCAGCAATTGTGGTTTGATTAAAATCTAATCATTTAGGAATTTTCTAAAAATTAGGTTCGAAGAATGCGTTAAACCCTATGAGAGTAATAATTGAGTGGGCAAATTGACCTCACTGTTCATTTATTTAAATTTAATTTGCGGATGAGGAAATAAAGAAATACTCCAAAAATTGTGCTAGGTTAGTACAAAACTTTAACAATTCAACATACTTATACTTAGACGGAATTTTTTTGCGGAGAAAAACAATTCGGAAATTTTTTTCTTGCTTTTCCCGATCTCTAAAATCGGTATGCACTCACGCTCCTTTGGCTCCTTTCAGCCCTAAAGCACTTACATGTGTAGGGAAACTAATGGTACATGCGTTATTTCTAAACTGAGCCTAAAATTGTAATTCCTGATTGCAAATTGCGATCCAGATGCCCTATAATCTGAGAGGGTTGAATATTTATCCTGATATTTTAACGCAAAAACAGTAATAAACATGCGTTCTCCTCCTTGGTTAGAAGAAAATAGTCTGTAACGGACCTTCATGTCCAGAAAATTTTTTGACAATCACTTCCGATTTCGTAAAGGAATTAAAAGATATATTACTGCATTATCCATACGTATGAAATAATTTGTAACTCATATTTTTCGTACAAACAGGATGGTGAATAAAAGAGAAATAAGAAGAGCCTCTCCCACCGTCAGTAAAAAAAAAACAAAAACAAAAAAAAAAAACAAACCGAATATAATGGAAAAAGTAATACAAAAGTGACTGATCTAATTTTTGGATAAAAAATCACCATTCTTTGCAAATTTTTTTAAATCAAACCACTTTCCCTTTTTCCCCCTCTCGCTATCATACACCCTTCCACTCTGTCATACTCTCCTTTCCATGGTAAAAATTGGCGATAAGAGCTGCGTTTCAAAATACCATAGGAATTCTTATAGTCGGCTAAAGAAGGCTGCAGAAAAGCATATAGCTGGCTGTAGAATGCGGAGAAAATCATACGTCCGGGCTACACGAAGCGATAAAAAATTATGGAGCCGGGCTATAGTTCCTATCGCCGGGCTTTACACTTTATCACCTGGCTGTTGCTTTTTCGCCATCGATTATAAAAGGCTACAAGAAATTGTGTAGAAATTCGTGTGCTTTGGAAATCATTAAGTCTGATACGGAGCCACCTTAATATTTACAAAACACTCATTATATTTTCCTTTAATACATATTTTGTTTCATTAATTAAAATGAGAATAATCCATACAGGATGTGCAAACATTTCAAAATCATGAATTGAATAACGCTGACTCCGCCAGATTAAATATTAGAGCCTAACACAAAGCGGAGCGGCGACGCACTGGCGCCTACAAACCTAACAGGGATAATTCACGCATTGCGCAACGCGTGAAGTATCTCTGTTAGGTTTGTAGGTGCCAATGCGTGTTGCGCGCTGGCTGCCCGCCTGCCACGGCGCTTGAAGCGACTATTTCACACCATAGGTATTGCACAGTATCATACGAAACTGAAGGCGCTCTAATACATTAGTAGTGGCAGGCATCCATCAAAAATACGGAGCTTGCCTCGCAAAATAAATCAAGATACTACGGCCCAAAAAGAGAGCAGTATTCCAAAAACTCACTAAGTCCTAGCATTCGTAATTAGTAACGTTTAGCATACACTTTATCGCCTGGCTGTTGCTTAGTCGCCATCGGCTATAAAAGTTTATAAGAAATTGTGTAGCCGGCTGTAGAAGCTATTGGAAATCTTACAGCCGGCTGTAGGTCTATGGTATTTTGGAACACAGATTCTACTGCCAATTTTTAGCAGGGTCTTTTAACTAGTATTTGTGAACACCAGGAGGCTCACAAATATTGGTTAAAGAATGGAGGCGCATTTAACGAAAAGCTAGGTACAAGAGATTGATTACTGGCGTTTCATGCTGTTTATAAAACAGCTTCTCTTGCCTCTTGTTTCGCCAAACAAACTATTGAATCACATAAGAATAACAAAATATTGACGACCTCAGTTTGTAAATTAAAGCATTATTGTCGTAATCCTTGATTTTCTCAGGAATAACAGCTTTTCTTTCGCCCTCTTACGCTAAAACCCACGCCTTTTACCGCTATCGTTGCCTTTTCCTGTTTCAAGAGGCGCTCCCTTATCTCTGCCATTGTACTACCGAAAAAATTATTAGAATTCCGAGTGCTGCTATGGATTGAGAGTTCATGAAAATAACTAATGAAATTGCATAACATATAGAAAAATACGTGACCGTCCATGTTGGGAAATTGAGGAATTCTGGTGTTAGAATAGTTTTGGGTCGGTCTACGCTATTTTGAGGAGAAAGCAAGGCTAAAAATTCCAAATCATCACTACCTATTCTACAACATTGTTACTTACAGTTCGAGCCACATTTTTAGTGTTTTTTACTTAAGGAATGATTTTTTTGCAAATTTTCACCCGTTTTCCCTTCTCCGCAGTATGCCATTTTCCATCCCTTTTCTCTCTTTCCGCTTTTCTTTTCTCATTTTTTTCTCTTTTTCTTAAAAGAGGAGAGCCCGCTTTCTCGTGCCCGCCATCATATCGGCGAGAAAATCAATGCAATTCCATAAGTGTCATGAATTGAGTAGTTGAGTACGTAGCTTACCTTGCTTCCTGTGAAACAGAACCCTACGCCTTTAATCCCCCCCCCCTACACACACACCTTCGCCCTCACACACACTGACACGCACAAAAGTTAAAAAAGAATTGAGAGAACAAAATAATTACCACCCTAATTAGTTAAATTAGGTACTGGCTTTTTCCTCCTTCTCACTCTGCTAACCTCCATCCCTCTTATCTGCGTCCTTTCACCTATTTTTATTACGGGGGCACGTACCCCCTTGAACCCGCCACCGCACTGGCGCGAAAATTAGTGGAATGTAAAGTGCCATGGATCGGATATGAACTAGAGCTTACCTCGTCGTCTGTAAACACCCAGAGCTACGGCCGTGGACACTCATTTTTGTCGTCTCGCGCCAGTTTCCGTGAAACTCAAACTCAGCGCGATGGATTTTTCTCTCTCTCCACTAGCTTCTTGTGTTGCTTGAGTGCTTTCGGTCATTGAGACCAGCGAGAGCATCGAGGAACTGAGAGGGNGGGGGGGGGGGGGGGGGGTGGCGAAG